GACAAATAAAATAAAAATCCGCTGAGAACAGAATATCTAGAAAAGGCGCTAAATAATCAGTGATATAAAAATTACAGGCGATAAGCTAAATTATTTTTTCTCCATTTTTTCTTAAAAAATATTATTGCTGAACCATCGCTTTGACGGAGGGCACCCAAGTGATTCTTGTTCTTGAAAGTCGCTAATTTGGAGTGGTATAGAAAAAGAGCGTCTATTTCCCTAGCAATCATCTGTTTACTACTTTTTTGTAGTATAAGTTGTAAGAGGAAAAGAGTGATTGACAAAGAGTATAAAGGAAGAATATTGGATTTGATCGCATGTACGGATGTGAACAGGCTGGTGGTTGGGAGGAAAAATGTCTTTGTCATTGATTGCTCGTCCCGACTACCATGCAAAAGGCAGTGCAGACGGCGAGAGATGCAGAGTGGCCATCGCTACAGCGGCCACCCAGCCCCCCAACTCGGGCATGACACCCATTCAAGTACAGGACAAACGTTGGCTCTCTGTCCCGTTAACGCTGGAGAAACTGTAACCCGTTTTTCTACCCCTAGAACGCTCCAAAAGACAAGCCATTTCAAGGGAGCTCTGTTGCGACCTGCCGCAGAGTCTTATTAACGATTTGACCTCTCCCTACGCTACCCAATTTCTTTAATACGTTCGAGGCGGCGTGTACTCCCGGGAGTACACGCGGAAACCCCTGTTTTCGGTCATTCGTACAGTATTGCGAAAACACGCGCATATTTTTTTGTTCTTTTTGCGACTGATTATATTCTACTAGCATACATTTACACAATTAACACATCAATACGAAGAAAAAAGTGCAAAAATATGCCCAAAACAACGGAGAATGTGAGTTCTGGGCGAAATGACCTTCGCCTCGAACGTGTTAAACGAAAAAGAGCATTATTTCTAGAACACTAGAATCCAGACCTCATTCAACCACACTGTGACATATAATGACTTATTTCGAAATTTTCGGGAAATACGACCCCTCTTCAATTCCGTCCTCTGCTACGACCTCCTCTCTTCCCCCTCCTCCAATTTTTCCTACTCTCCCACCACCTATCCCGAAACTTTTCCAGGAATTTTGCCGTCAAGCGGTGCGGCAGCACCAATGGAACGGAAAGAGCCACGACGAGTCAACGACCGGAAAAT